TTTTCTTTTTGCTTATGTGGTACTGAGGAATCGAACCCAGGGCCTCAGGCATGCAAGGCAAGCACTCTACCACTGAGCCACCTTCCCAGCCCAACTGTTTTGTTTTTAAATGACCTGGCAGTCTCAGTCTCAATCCTTTCTCAGATTTTTCAGGCCGACCTTCTTAAATAACTTGTATTTTTACTGAATGCAAATGCCCTTTTCTGAAGAAAGCGGTTTGCTGTTCAAACATAGGAAATAACTGTTGCAAAGAAATGCTTGGCATTCAGAATTTGGAACAATTGGTTGGCTAAGGAAACATTAATGAACATCACAGACTGACTGGCCTCCCAGGAATGAGTTTCAAGCTCTGACTTTTTTTTCCTTTGTAAATGGAAAAAGAACCTTTAATTGTCCTCTATTTCTACCAACCACATACCCCAGACTTTCCAGGGGACCTCCCAGTTCCTTCCCAGACCATGCATACTGTCACTGAGTCTGGAAAATAGAGTTCTTTGGGGTCATTTGATTGGATGTGGAAGTCAATGAGCTGAGTTCAGATCATTGGCCTTAAAGAAGGAAGATACTGTGTTATCAGATCTGTTTAGAATGTATTTTACCATTCCAGAAGTACTTGAGACAAGGAAATTCTCACTGGGCGGGATTTTAGTTATATAGTTTGGTGGTTTCGACAACCATTGAGGTCAGGCCCTGGTGGTTTACAGTACCTGTCATCCTAGCTACTCAGGAGGCTGAAATCTGAAGATAACAGTTCGATGCCAGACCAGGCAGAAAAGTCTGTGAGATTCTTTTTTTTTTGGGGGGGGTCAGTTGTGGGACTGAACTCTGGGCCTGGGCACTGTCCTTCAGTTCTTCAGCTCAAGGCTAGCACTGTACCACTTGAGCCACAGCACCACTTCCGGCTTTTTCTGCTTATGTGGTGCTGAGGAGTCAAACCCAGGGCCTCATGCATACAAGGCAAGCACTCTACCACTGAGCCACCTTCCCAGAATTGTAGATTCATATCTACAATTAACCAGCAAAAATGCTGCATGTGGGGGTGTGGCTCAAGTGGTAGAGTGCTAGGCTTGAGCCAAGAAAGTTAAGGGACAGTGCCCAGGCCCTGAGTTCAAATCCTAGCACCAACTCACATAATCAACAAAAAGGAATATTGTTTGTCATATTTATATGGTCAGATTTAGTTCTCCCATTGGGCTATTTTTTCTGTTTGTCTCATCTGGGTTTTGTTTCCTTCTTCCTGCATTATTTTAGGTTAATCAAGTATTTGTAATGCTGCATTGAAATTCTTCCATTGGTTTTTTAGTTCTGCAATCAATTATTGCTTAATTTACCTAAGTCATACCATTTCATGCAAAACATAAGGGTCTAAAAAAAGGGATTTATTTGCTCCACCTGTATTTTGTGAGTGTCATTACATTCATGTATTTATTTTTGTTGGTCTTGGGGCTTTAACTCCAGGGCCTGGGTGCTATCCCTGAGCTTTTGTGCTCAAGGCTAGTGTTCTACCACCTGAGCCACAACTCCACTTTAGCTCTTTTTTGGTAGTTAATTGGAGATAAGAATCTTACGGACTTTTCTGCCTAGGCTGCTTCAAACTACAATCCTCACATCTCAGTCTCATGAGTAACTAGGATTACAGGTGTGAACAACTCACGATATTTTTGTTCGCCTTTTTTTTTTTGGTTGGTCTGGGGCTTCAACTCTGGGCCTGGGCGCTGTCCCTCTGCTCTTCAGCTCAAGGGTAATGCTCTATCCCTTGAGCCACACAGTGCTACTTCCAGCTTTTTCTGTTTATGCAGTGCTGAGGAATGGAACCAGGGCCTCATGCATGCAAGGCAAGCGCTCTACCACTGAGCCACCTTCCCAGCCTTACTTTTGTTCGCCTTTGTAGTAGACACTGTTCTGGTTTTTCTGACTTCCATTGTTTGTGACATGTAATCAGGCCTTATTTGTATTATTGTTCCCCTGTATGTTTTTACCTGACTGCTTTTTTTCCCCATTCTCCTTTAGCATTTTTTTTTCCTTTAGCATTTAATAATGATGTGCCCACATATGTTTCTTTATATTTTTCCTGCTCTAATTCATTAAGTTCATTGAATGCCTAGACTTGTGTTTTTCCAAATGTGGAAAATCTGCCTGCTTTGTTGTTCCCCTTCTTCCCCCCAACTATGTTTCTGCGTATTTCTTCCTACCACTTCTTTTCTGGGATTCTAGTTACACATATGTTAGACTGCTTGAACATCCCACAAATCCTCTTTACTTTTTGGTTTGGATAAGTTCTGTTGATCTTGCTTCAAGTTCTTAGAACTTTTTTCCAGTCATCTTCAGTCATATGCCAAGCCTTAACTGAGTTTTTTAAAATTTCATATATGGTACTTTTTTGTGCTAAAGTTTACATTTGACTCATTTTTATAGTTTCATTTCATTGATGAGATTTCTCCTATCTGGTCATTCATTATGACCTTATTTTCCTTTTAAGTTCTTGAACATCTTTGTAACAGCCACTCTAATTTCCCTGTTTATTTCAGGCTTTGGGTCATCTTGTGCCAGGTTCCTATTGATGCTGGTGCATATTCGATTCCATTTCATGTCTAGTAATCTTTTACTATGTGCTGGGCAGTATATGTAGTATATAATGAAGATAATAAATTTTGTTCTTTCTCTGAAGAAGAATCAATTTTTTACTCGAGCAAGTTAACTTAGCTGGACTCCAAATTCTGTCTTTCCTTTGGTGAACTTTTTTTTTTTTTGGTCAGTTGTGGGGCTTGAACTCTGAGCCTAGGCTTGGTCCCTGACCTCTTCAGCTCAAGGTGACTGCTTTACCACTTGAGCCACAGTGCTGCTTTGGTTTTCTGATGTTTAATTGGAGATAAGAGTCTCACTGCGTAGGCTGGCTTTGAACTGAGATCCTCAGATCTCAGCCTCCTGAGTAGCTAGGATTATAGGCGTGAGCCCCCAGAATCTGTCTGGTGAACTATTTTTTTGGTCATAAGGCTTGAACTCAAGGCCTAGGTAGTGTCCCTGAGCTTTTTATTCAATGCTAGAAGTCTGCCACTTGGAGTCATAATGCCACTTCCAGGTTTTTTTGTTTTTTTTTTGTTTTTTGTGGGGTTTTTTGAATGGTTAATTAGCGAGAAGCCAGCCTGGGCTGGCTTTAAACCATGATCCTGGGGGCTGGGAAGGTGGCTCAGTGGTAGAATGCTTGCCTTGCAAGCATAACGCTCTGGGTTCGATTCCTCAGCACCACATGAGCAGAAAAAGCTGGAAGTGGTACTGTGGCTCAAGTAGTAAAGCACTACCCTTGAGCTGAAGAGCTGAGGGACAGAGTTCAGGCCCCACAACTGACCAAAAAAAAAAAACAAAAACAACCATGATCCTAAGATCACAGCCTCCTGAGTAGGTGGATTTTCAGGCTTGAGCCACCAGCACCTGACTGATTCTTTGGTGAACATTTCTTTTTTTTTCTTTTCTTTTCTTTTGTCAGTCATGGGACTTGAACTCTAGGCCTGGGCACTGTCCCTCAGCTCTTCAGCCCAAGGCAAGCGCTCTACCACTTGAGCCACAGCGCCACTTCTTAAAACACACTACTTAAAACAATATGGCTTAGAGACATGCCTCAGCTGGAAGAATGCTTGCTGGAGGCACTGAGTTCAAACACCAGTGCCATCAAGGAATGAGAGGGAGAGAGGGAAGAGAAAAGAAAAGGAAAGGAGTGTCTACAATTCCATCAAACTTCAGGACAAATAATATAATTACAATATCATGAATATTATTCTTTTTTTTTTCTTTTTTGGTCAGTCGTGGGGCCTGCACTCTGGGCCTGGGCACTGTCCCTCAGCTCTTCAGCTCAAGATTAGCGCTCTACCACTTGAGCCACAGTGCCCACTACCAGCTTTTTCTGTGTATGTGGTGCTGAGGAATCGAACCCAGGGCCTCATGCATGCAAGGCAAGCACTCTACCACCGAGCCACCTTCCCAGTTCCCTGGTGAACATTTCTTGAAATCTGCTTGAGGTGGGCCCTGGTGGCTCACACCTGTAATCCTAGCTACTTCTGGAGATTGAGATCTGAGGATCACAGTTCAAAGCCAGCCCAGGCACGAAAGTCTGAGACTCTTCTTACCTTTGATAAACCACCAGAAAATTGGAAGTGGTGCTGTGTCTCAAGTAGTAGAGCCCTGTCTTGAGCTGAAGAGCTCAGGGACAGTGCCCAGACCCAGAGTTCAAGCTCCACTACCGACAAAATAAAACAAAAAAAGAAAAAGAAATCTCTGCTTGATGCTTTCCACCTTGAAGCTGATACCTTTCACATGTGCAGTTCAGGGATAAGCTAGGGTTTTGGATAGAGTTTATTTAAAATTTGGAGGGCTCTTGTGATTTCCCTTTCTGGGATTTTCTCCTTCACTTTCAGTGATGCTGTTAATTCCAACCTTGGTCTACCAACTCATCCAACCAGAGCGTCACACCATTCCTGCTTATGTTCTAACTGCTTTGTTCTATATGGACAGTGGGGGTAATGCCAGGTGACAAAACGTACAAATATAATCCTTCCTGTGACAGGCTACGTGTATGAATCCCTTCCTCTGATAAGCCACACTGATGAATCATAGCTATGTATTTCCTTTTATGAAGGGTTTATTTCCCTCCAGTTTCTGCTTGGTTTTGGTCACTGTATTCTGCTTTCAAATATTTTGTCTGAGTACATAATCATTATCTGCTTATGTTACTGCTCATCATGATCAGAAGTTGTGTCACATTATGTTTTTTATTTTGCATCGATGTTGCCATTGACACTTTAATCCATTGATTGATGTTTAACCCATTGATTACTTTAATCACTAATCAATCAATCCATTGACTGATTTAATCCATTGATGTTGAATCCATAAGATTAAACAGCAAAGAAAATCCTGACATTTTCTGTGAAGGAGAGCAAGATCTCATCGAAGTCTTCAAATAAAATTAAATGTATAAGTAATCTCATTTCTTCTTTCTTTTATAGACAAGAGATGATTTCCTAGGTCAAGTGGATGTTCCTCTTTATCCATTACCGGTTGGTATAGGATCAGTGATTTTGTTCTTTATATGTATTCTTTTTTCATTTAATATTTATATATACTAATAATGTAATTAGTTGATTTATAAAGTATATACTCTATTTCTTTTTTCTTTCTTCCTTCCGTCCTTCCGTCCTTCCTTCCTTCCTTCCTTCCTTTCTTCATTCCTTCCTTCTTTCCTTTCTTTCTTTCTTTCTTTTTTTCTTTCTTTCTTTCTTTCTTTTGTCATAGGGCTTGAACTCATGGCCTGGGTACTGTCCCTGAACTCTTTTTGCTCAAGGCTAGTGCTCTACCACTTTGAATCACAGCACCACTTCTGGTTTTCTGATGGTTAATTGGAGATAAGAGTCTCACAGACTTTCCTGCTCAGACTGGCTTTGAACTGCAATTCTCCATCTCAGCCTCCTAAGTAGTTAGGATGGCAAGCAGTGTCCGCCAGCATGCCTCACTTCTTGTACAGGAGAGGGAAAGCACTGTGAAATTACTAATTATGACCATTTAACAAACTAAAGCTGTTTTTTCCTTTGTCATATTTAACGTCAGTGATGCCTTAGGTCATAATTCATGAATATTCTTGAAAAGTACCTAACATTTTAATGTTACAGATATGTCTTGAAAACCTACTGTTTCATTCTAGACAGAAAATCCACGAATGGAGAGACCATATACATTTAAGGACTTTGTTCTTCACCCAAGAAGGTCAGTAATATAAAATCGAAGTATAATAAGGTATTTTTTGTTTTTGTTTTTGTTTTTTAGTCTCTTCACTAAGCATAACAATAGCTTCTTTGGAAAAGCAGGATTAAAACTCTTGTTAGTGAGTTACTCCTAAATATTATATTATTACATTTAAAAGTTTTATTGTTCTTTCTGGTACTTGTACATTGCACAAGGATTCTGAATGCACAGAAAAGTGATTGTGCCCCTGTGGAAAAGATTTGTCCTCCTGATATTTGCTAAATAGGTGACTGAACTTCTTCATTATCTTCTATTTGTTTTTGATATTATAGTCTAAGTAATGTTGTCATTCTATGATTCTATCCAACTTTACATAGACAAATTTAATTTCAGGAAAATGTCTTAATTTTGACTTGTGTGTGTGTGTGTGTGTGTGTGTGTGTGTGTGCGCGCGCGCGCATGCACACACATACGCCAGTCTTGGAGCTTGAACTTAGGTCCTGGGTGCTGTCTTTGAGCTTTTATGCTCAAGGCTATCACTCTACCACTTGAGCTACCACTCTATTTCTGGCTTTTTTGGCAGTTAATTGGAGCTAAGAGTCTTATGGACTTTCCTTCCCGTGCTAGCTTCAAACTGTGATCCTCAGATCACAGCCTCTTGTGTAGCTAGGATTGCGGACATGAGCCACCAATGCCCTGCTAATACTTCTGCTTATAATTTTTTTTTAGAATACTCAGATAATTAGAGCAAGCAGCATGAATAAAGAATGGAATTTAAAACCCAAATAGCCTACTGATAATTCTATTTTTTCCTAAGCTGAATTATAAGAGTATCAAAGTTTTAAATTTCAGGCTGTAAATAAACTCCTTCCTCCTCTCTCCCCAATACTGAGGCTTTAATTTAGGTCCTTGTGCTTCTTTGGCTGGTGCTCTTACCACTTGAGCCAATCCTCCAGCAATAAAATTCCTTTTAATCTCTGTACCACGTAGTAAACTAATATCTAGTCAACATCTTTACTGTCGTAAAGGTCTAAGTCCAACAGATACATGACATCAGTGAAAATAGTATTTGTATTGTCTTCTATTCTAGAAAATGTATTACAAAAATGTACTATGAGGATTTTACAGGATATTTTTTCCATTTAGAATTATTTCTGTTGGGCACCAATGGATCACGCACTAGCTATTCAGGAGGCTAAGATCTGAGGATTGCTGTTCAAAGCCAGCACCAAAAGTCCAGGAAACTGTATCTCCAATTAACCATCAGAAAACAGGAAATGGTGCTATGGTTCAAGTGGTAGAGCGCTGAAGAGGTCAGGAACAATGCCCAGCCCAAGAATTCAAGCCCTATAACCGACAAAAAATAATAATAATTTCTGAAAGCCAGTCACTGGTGGCTCACGCCTGTAATCTTAGCTATTCAGGAGACTAAGCTCTGAGGATCAAGGTTTGAAGCTATCCCAGGCAGAAAAGTCACCTTGAGACTCTTATCTCTGGTCAAAATGGTAGAGTGTTAACCTTGAGCAAAAGAGCTCAGGGACAGCATCCAGGCCTTGAGTTCAAAACCCTTGACACAAAATAAACAAATAAAGCAAAAAAAAAAAAAAAGACTTCTGCCAGGCATTGGTGGCTCACGCCTGTAATCCTAGCTACTCAGGAGGCTGAGATCTGAGGATCATGGTTCAAAGCCAGCCCAGGTAGGAAAGGCCATGAGACTCCAATAAACCACTAGAAAACCAGAAGTGGCGCTGTGGCTCAAGCAATAGAGCACTAGCCTTGAGCTGAAGAGCAAAGGGACAGCGGCCCAAGCCCAGAGTTCAAGCCCCACAACCAAACAAAAAAAAAAAAGACTTCTAAGCAGAGCACTCACTCATAGTTTACTGTAATTGTAGCTTATTTAGGAGGCTGAGATCTGAACATCTTGTCTAAAATTACCTCAGGTAAATGCCTCAGTACTAGTAGGTGTTCAGTAAACTCACTTATTGTAATGCTTTTGGTTTTATTCAAGTTTTGTGAATAATTGTTTTCTTTTCTACAGTCATAAATCAAGGGTGAAAGGTTATCTGAGATTAAAAATGACTTATTTACCTAAAACTTGTGGCTCAGAAGAAGATAATGCTGAACAGGCAGAAGAATTAGAGGTAAGATGTTATAAATGTTTGGTAAAACTAAAAGAAAATGTCTAATTTGATATTTTACTGTACTCTGAAGAAAATGACTACCCAGTAAAATTAATTTATGAAATAAATACTATGAAATATTTATTGAATTAATAAATTAATTTATGAAATAAAAATTATTTACCTGAACATGCACTCAAAATGTACTCAAGCATTTATTAATAATTATTTTCCTCTAAAAGAGCATTTCTGGAGAAACAATGATGTTAAAGATCAGCAAGTCCGCTGGGCGCTGGTAGCTCATACCTGTAATCCTAGCTACTCAGGAGGCTGAGATCTGAGGACTGTGTTTTTAAACCAGCCCAGGCAAGAAAGTCTGTGAGACTCTTATGTCTAGTTAATCACCAAAAAGCCACAGTGGAATAGTGGCTCAAGGGATAAAGATCATGCTTGAGTAAAAAAGTTAAGGGACAGCACAGTGGCCACTCATGTTCAAGCCCCTGTACCAGTGTGAGCACGTATGTGCACACACACACACACATACACATTATAATCTTTGTGAGTAAAAGATAATAATGTTTAGGAACAAAAGCATTTCTTATAATGAAATCATTAACTTTCTCATCTACTTTTCTAAATCTGTGTCATACTCTTTAAGAACACAATTATTGAATATTTGTCACTTGGACATTTTAAGAAACAGCTAGGCTGGGAGGTAGCTCAATGACAGAGTACTTGCCTAGCAGGTATAATGTCCTGGGTTCAATCCCCAGTACCAAAAAAAAAAAAAAAAGACAACCAATAAGAAATTGTTTTATGACATGTAATTCTTTTTTTTCTTGCTTGAACTCAGGGCCTGGGCACTGTCTCTGAGCTTCTTTTTCTTCAAGGCTAGGACTCGATGACTTGAACCCTCAGTACCACTTCCAGCTTTTTCTGTGTATGTGGTACTGAGGAATCAAACCCAGGGCTTCATGCATGCTAGGCCAGCACTCTACCACTAAGCCACCTTCCCAGCCCTCTGACATGCAGTTCTTATTCCTTTTTCTGTTTTGGTGAAGAGGGGCCTGACAAGAAGGGAGACGAGTAGATTTCAGGTGATTGATTTCGAGTAATCAAATAAAAACCCACGTTTATTTTGAAGCAAGTGGGATTTGTCCCAGTTCAAAGATGACAGCATAAAAGGAGAGGGCAATTCTGGATGGAGATCTATCATGTGAGTGGATGTAGAGGTAGATTATGTACAAAGCCACTTCTGGCATTTTTTTTTTGAGGGGGGGAGGTGGCTGGTTAATTGGAGATAAGAGTCTCACACACTTCTCTGTCCCAGTAGGCTTCAAACTAACAATCCTCCAGTCCTCATTCTCCTGAGTAGCTAGGATTACAAGGGAAAGCCACTGGTGCCTGGCTATTTTGAAAGTTGTTATTTTTTTCTTTTCTTTTTTTGTTTAGAAGAGATTTACTACCAAAGTTTCCCTCCCTGGCATGTTGGTAGCAAAGAGTGACTTGCATAATGGAATTCTGTCTGAAAGCCAGGATGTTTGCTGTAAAGGAAGAAAATCCTTTAGTTAGTAACTTTAAAAAATTAAGAACATACCGGGGCCCTGGTGTTAAGCACGTAGGTGTTTTGTTTTTGTTTTTGTTTTTACAAAAGACTCTAGGAATTCAAATGCACAAATTTGTGCTTATTTATCTGTATAGTTAGTGACTAGAGAAATCTTGGTCTAGTCCTTTGACAGCTAGTTTGGGACTAAATGTATCAACTTTACTGTTAGAAGAAAACAATTGTAATTCCAGATGAGGTGCACTCTTAGGTAGTTTGTCTTCCTTGGTAGTATGACTGCAACATACAATTAATTATTGAACATTTGATTTTTGTACTCTTTGTTACTTTAGGGAGAGTTGGATGTGTTTTATAAGACTAGCATATAACATTTCTTATAGCTCTGAAGTCAATCTTACTCTATTAGACAATTGGATGTTAGCTTTAAGACTAGTAATTTGTTTATTATATTTTTATTTTTTGCTTTTTCTGCCGGTTCTGGGGCTTGAACTCAGGGTTTGGGCGCTGCCTCTGAGCATTTTTTGCTCAAGGCTAGCTCTCTACCACTTGAGCCACAGTACCACTTCCAGCTTTTTTGAGTAGTTTACTGGAGATAAGAGTCTCACATGGGGCTGGGAAGGTGGCTCAGTGGTAGAGTGCTTGCTTTGCATGCATGAGGCCCTGGGTTTGATTCCTCAGCACCACATAAGCAGAAAAAGCTGGAAGTGGCACTGTGGCTCAAGTGAAGAGCTGAGGGACAGCACCCAGGCCCAGAGTTCAGGCCCAATGACCGACTAAAAAAAAAAGAGTCTCACAGACTTTCCTGACCAGGCTGGCTTCAAACTGTGATCCTTAGCTTCAGATCTCAGCCTGTTGAGTAGCTCTGATTACAGGCATGAGCCATTGATGCCAGGCAATCTAGTAATTTAAGTAAAGGTCATTGATTCCTAGAAAATTATTTTATAGGCATAGAGGTATGGCTCAATTGGTAGAGTACCTGCCTAGTCAAAGCCCAGGATTCAATGCAGAGCGTGGGAAGGAGCAGATGAAGAGGGAGGAAGAGAGGGAGAGAAAGAGGGAGGGAGAGAGGAAAAGGGAAGAATTACTTTATGGTCAATGTAGATAATTCATGTTTAATAAGGAAGAATTCTGTCAAAAAAAAAGAAGAGTGGGCTGGGAAGGTGGCTCAGTTGTAGAGTGCTTACATTGTATGCATGAGGCCCTGGGTTCCATTTCTCAGCACCACATAAGCAGAAAAAGCCGGAAGTGGCACTGTGGCTCAAGTGGTAGAGTGCTAGCCTTGAGCTGAAGAGCTGAGGGACAGTGCTCAGGCCCAGTGTTCAAGTCCCATGACTGACAAAAAAATCCAGTTCACGCACTTTTGAAACTCAAAGCAGGGAAATAAAATTTAACTGTGTATGCAAGTCTGTAGGGTGCTAGATCCTATGTTGTCAAGGGAAAAAAAGAAGAAAGAGAAGCATAGTAACAGTGACAAACTAAGTGGAAAGGAAGAAAATAGAGTTTGGAGAAAATTGACATTTTTGAGAGGTTGAATCTTCCTAAGATCCTTTTTTGTCTTTCCATTCATTACTGCCTGGGACTAAAACTTCTAGAATTCATCTTAAATTTCCCTTCACATAGGATGTGTGGAAATTTCTAAAAATCAAGCACTAGTGGCTCACACCTGTAATCCTAGCTACTGGGGAGACTCAGATCTGAGGATCACAGTTCAAAGCCAGCCTGAGCTGGAAAGTCCATGAGACTCTTTATCTCCAATTAACCAGCATAAAGCCAGAAGTATGGAGGTGTAATTTACATGGGAGAACACCAGCCTTGAGCAAAAATACTAAACAATAGCAACCAGTTCCTGAGTTCAATCTAGCATAAAGTTAATTGTTACTACTAGCTGGGCACTGGTGACTCACACCTGTAATCCCAGCTACTCAGAAAGCTAAGATCTGATCTGAGGATCAGGGTTCAAAACCAGCCCGGGCAGAAAAGTCCATAAGACTCTTATCTCCAACTAGAAAACTCAAAATGGTGCTGTGGCTTAAAATGGTAGAGTGCTTGCCTACCCAGGCCCAGAATTCAAGCCCCATGACCAACCAACAATAACAACAAAGATAATTGTTCCTATTCTGTTTTGCAGCCTGGCTGGGTTGTTTTGGACCAACCAGACGCTGTCTGCCATTTGCAGCAGCAGCAAGAACCTTCTCCTCTTCCCCCAGGATGGGAAGAGCGGCAGGACGTCCTTGGAAGGACCTACTATGTAAACCATGCATCGCGAAGAACACAGTGGAAAAGACCAACCCCGCAGTATGTGCCACTGAAGCGCCTTTACGTCACTGATAGAATTTTTTTTTCTATTCTTTTTGGTGGTACTGGGTTAATACTCAGGACCTGCCACTTCAGCCATGCCCCTATTCCTTTTTTTGTTTTTTTGCTCTTGTTTGTTCAGCCTCCCACAGAGGTGGTATCACAGACACGGAACTCCATGCCCACCTGGTTTATCGGGATGGGGCTCCCTGTTGTGATGCCCTACCTCCCAAGTAGCTGGGATTACAGGCGTGAACCACCACACCCAGCCCTCTGTGTACATTTTGACCATTCATTTTCTTTTTTGAAGTCATGTCTGAAATGAATGAATTCATAGTAGTGTAAGGATCCATCAACTGTAAAAAAAAGACCAAGACTTTTGTGACCCAGGTCTTAAAAGTACTATTTCAGCTCGGCACCCGTAGTTCTCGCCTGTAATTCCAGCTACCCAGGAGGCCAAGATCTGAGGATTGCAGTTCAAAGCAGCCTGGGCAGGAAAGTTCATGAGACTCTTAATCTCCAGTAAACTGTCAAATGGCTAGGAATGTGGCTTAGAGGTAGAAAGCTTGCCTAGCATGCATGAAGCCACATAAAACAGAAAAAGCTAGAAGTGGCACTGTGGCTCAAGTGGTAGAGTGCTAGCCTTGAGCAAAAAGAAGCTGAGGGACAGCACCCAGGCCCTGAATTCAAGCCCCAGGACTGACACTAAAATCTATCGCAGCTGTTTCTTTTTTTTGGGGGGGTGGTCCAGTCGTGGGGCCTGAACTCTGGGCCTGGGTGCTGTCCCTCAGCTCTTCAGCTCAAGGCTAGCACTCTACCACTTGAGCCACAGCGCCACTTCTGGCTTTTTTCTTTTTGCTTATGTGGTGCTGAGGAATCAAACCCAGGGCCTCAGGCATGCAAGGCAAGCGCTCTACCACTGAGCCACCTTCCCAGCCCAGCTGTTTCATTTTTTAAAGTGTGTGTCTGGGCGTGTCTTAGGAAAGGAACACCAAGGCACAATGCCTATGTGCCTTTGATCATGTACAATAATATTTGTCAAAACAAACTCCAGGAAATGAAAATAAATATATATACATATAGTTTATATATGTGTGTGGTTTGTTTAGGTAGATAGTTTGTGTATATATGATTACAGGAAGTGCAGCTGTAGCTCAGGTGGTAATGAACCAGCGCTGAATGAAAAAGCCAAATAATACTACCTTACTATGTAACTGTAACCCTTCTGTACATCAATTTGACAATAAAAAAAAAAGCCAAATAGGAACATGAGATCCTAGTGTCAAGCTCCAGTACTGGCACAAAAACAAAGAAAAAAGAGATAATTAATATGCTAGATTTTTGATTTGGTAATTATACATGTATACATGTAGCCAAATATGATATAGTTCCCCCAGAAGGCAATTATACAATTATTAAGTGTCAACACTGATGTGAAAACGAAGGCCAGGCATCAGTCAGTTCATGACTGTAATTCTAGCTACTCAGGAGGCTGAGATCAGACGATCCTTGTTCTCAACTAGTCACAGGCAGAAAGGTATATAAGACCTTACCTCCAAATAACTAGCAAAAAGCTGGACAGGTAGTAGAGCCCCAGCCATGAGCAAGAAAGTCGAATTGAGACTATGAGGCCCAGTCCTGACAAAACTGAATAGAACAGAAAATAGAATATCAGATGTGTTACAGGTTTCATAAAAGGTATCCCACAGGTGTCTACATGTCCACAGTACATGACACAGAAAAGCAACCACTGGTGATTGAAGAGCTATTAAGCGTTTTTTAAATGATCCCAAAGTCTTTGACTCTCGTTTTAACCATCTCAAGGTACACCTGATGACTCAGATTCCTTCCAAAACAGGGATGACCTAACAGAGGCTGAGGGTGGGGACATGGAGCTGCAAGCCCAGCGCGCGTTCACCACTCGGAGGCAGATCTCTGAGGAAGCAGAAGCCATGGATCCCCGGGATGCCTCTGAGGTACAGCTGCTCATGGTTCTCCTGGATAGGGATTTGCTGCCTTCCTCAGTCAGAACTATGTAAGTTTTCCCTGCATTGGTAGCTAACACCTATTAGAATCCCAGCTACTCTGGAGGATGAGGCTGAGGATCGCCGTTCAAAGCCACTGGTGGCTCACGCCTGTCATCCTAACTACTCAAGAGGCTGAGATCTGAGCAGATCACAGTTCAAAGCCAGCCCAGGCAGGAAAGTCCATGAGACTCTTATTTCCAGTGAACCCCCACTTTACCACTTCAGAGTGGTAAAGCGCTAGCCCTGAGCAAAATGCTAAGTGATAGCACCAGCCCCTGAGTTCAAGCCCCAGTGCCGAAATACACATAACTCAGGTTGCTTCTGTTCATTTTAGACCTGGGAAGTGATAAGAGAAGACGAAGCCGCCATGTACAGTGTTCAGTCTTTCCCATCACCACCGACATCGAGTAACGTGGACATGCATCCTCACCTTGCAGAAGAATTAAATGCTAGACTCACCATGTGTGGTGATTCGGCCACTAGCCAGCCCATGTCCAGCTCAGTAAGATGCTTTTCCATTCTCTTACAGCTTTGGGATTTTATATGATGAGTATTCCACTCGACAACGAATATTTTACATGAAGGTCTTGTCTTTAGTGGCATGCAGTGATAATGTGCTTTGCATTATGGTCGTTTTCCATCTGTCCTTGGCAGATAGATCAGTTGGTACCTGGAGTCTCAAGCATATTCATGTCCTCTGGTCAAAAATATTCATACTAGGCAGTGCTAGCGGCTCATGCCTATCATCCTAACTACTTAGGAAGCTCTGAAGATTATGGTTCTAAGCCAGCCCAGGCAGGAAAGTCTGTGAGACTCTTATCTCTACTTAGCTACCAGAAAAGCCAGAAGTAGAGCTGTGGCTCAAGGGGTAGAGTGCTAACTTTGAGCAAAAGAAAGCTTAGAGACAACACCCAGACCCTGAGTTTAAGCCCCCGGACCAACACACGCACACACACACAAGCACAAAAAGCTGGAAGTAGAGCTGTGGCTCAAGTGGTAGAGTGCCAGCCCCAATACTGTCACAGAAAAATTGTTAAAAAAAGATAACATAGCCGGGCGCCGGTGGCTCACACCTGTAATCCTAGCTACTCAAGAGGCTGAGATCTGAGGATCACGGTTCAAAGCCAGCCCAGGCAGGAAAGTCTGTGGGACTCTTATCTCCAATAAACCACTAGAAAAAAAACCCAGAAGTGGCGCTGTGGCTCAAGCGGTAGAGCGCTCGTCTTGAACTGAAGAGTGCAGGGACAGCACCCAAGCCCAGAGTTCAAGCCCCAGGACCGACAAAAAATAAATAAATAACAGATAACATCTAAATAGCATACTACAAAGCAGCCATTGAAAATAGTGAGGCAGGGCTGGGAAGGTGGCTCAGTGGTAGAGCGCTTGCCTTGCATGCCTGAGGCCCTGGGTTCGATTCCTCAGCACCACATAAGCAAAAAGGGAAAAAAAAGAAAATAGTGAGGCAGCTTTGAGTGTGTGCTGTGGAAATCAACCTCTAATAGATGTTGACAAATGAAATACAGTAAAGAATTGTACAGAATGATTTTTTTGCATATTCCATGTATATATATTATTTAAATGACAAAGATTAAATATGCATATGACATTTCTTGAAGATAAACAGGAACTGGTACTTGTTCAGAGAGAAAAGAATCTGAGGGGCAGATTTATCCTTTGTATCTTTTGAATTAATTCCCAACTATTGTTAAAAAAAAAGTCAACTTCTACTGAGCACTACTGGTAGCTCGCATCTGTAATCCCAGCTACTCAAGCAGCTGAGAACTAAGGATTGTAGTTCAAAGCCAGCCCAGGCAGGAAAATCTGTGAGACTCTTATCTCCAATAGACTACCGCAAAAGCTAGATGTGGAGCTGTGGCTCAAGTGGTGGAGCACTAGCCTTGAGCAAAAGAAGCTCAGGGACCCAGGCCCTGAGTTCAAACTCTAGAACCACCAGAAAAAAAAAAGGTCAACCTCTGCTCTTTTGGAGACAAGTTTTACTTTTTCTACCCATGCTGACTTTGAACTTGTGATCCTCCTGCTTCAGCCTCCCAAATCAAACCAGGGATTACAATTATGCATATCCTGTCAGCAGCTCAGAAACAACTCTTATTCATCTGTCTATTTATTTTGTTCATTTATTGAGGTAGTAGGGGTTGAACTTAAGTCCATGCTTGTTAACAGGCACTCTACCACTTGTGCCTGCCCTTGTTCTATTGGTTATTTTAGAGATAAGTTCTAGCTTTATACTCAGGCTTATCTTGGTTAGAGTTTTCTTTTTTCTTTTCTGTGTGTGTGTCTCGCTCATGGTGTTTGAATTCTGGGGCCTGGTGCTGTCCCTCAGCTCTTCAGCTTCAGGCTCTACTGCTTGAGCCACATGCCACTTCTGGTTTTCTGGTGGTTTATTGGAGATAAGAGTCTCATGGAGTTTCCTGCCCAGGCTGGCTTTGAACTGTGATCCTCAGATCTCAGCCTCCTGAGTAGCTAGGATTACAGGCATGACCCATCAGCACCCGGCTGGCTTCAGTTTTCTTAACTAAGTTCTTCCACATGGCTGGGGGTATAACAGGTCAACACCCACTGCCCCTTCATTGTTTGAGTTAGGGTCTCACAAACTCTTTGTTGCTTGATAGGTCCTGGAGCCACAATGTTCTAATCTCTCAAGGAGGTACGATTATAGCCTGGTGCTACAGCACCTAGAGGGCAATAAAGTTTCTTGTTTCAGCAGGCCCTGTTCTATTTTCATACATGCATATAAAGCATTTCTACCATATTCACCCGCATTCACCCTCCCCATGAAACCCTCACTCTCCAGATACCCAGTCCTCCCAACAGAGCCTGTTTTGCATTCATTTTCAAATCAAAAGTAGTCATCAAAGTCTTGACGTTGTCCAAGTCATCCTTCAGATATTTGGGCCCCAGTCTCCTATAGAGACAGACTTTTCAATTGTTTACAATTCTCAGCTACTTCAAACGATCCTACAGTAGATAGTTTGACTTAATTTATGTGAGTGCATGGTAAATGTTGATGTCAGTAACAAAGCTAAGGTATTTCTGATCACGGAAACAGGATTTCAGATAGTGTGGCAACAGCAGGTACACAAAGGCAAAAGGAAAGGAAGAAGATAGGATTTCCTGGAAATAAGTGATCTGGCTGGAATGTCCAGCTATCAGGAAGTAGCCAAAGAGATCAGGAATGGGCGGGGCCTGGAACTCAGGAAGTTGAGGGCGGAGCCTAGAGCTCAGGAACTATTGTGTGTTGTGTCCTGATTTCATTTAGTGTCTGTCTCCCTCCCCCGGAAGGATGTCAACCACAGTATGCCAGGTCAAGATCTGTCACACAAGGCTCTCTGGCTGCCTCCTACAGCATGTGCCTAAGGAAATGAGATGTGAATTCATTGGGGAAACTGATTCGGACCTTGCTGCTGTTAATCATCAAGATGACAATGAAAACTTGAATCTTCTTTTTTTTTAATTTTGTAAAAAGTCCTACTTGTACTAAAATGGAAAAAAAAAAGTTGAATGTATTGGAGAGCTAGTTCGGAGAGACTGAATAGAAAGAAATGGGTGTGGCTGGGAGGGAAAACCCATGTGTAGAATGTGGACAGCTGGGGACTGGATGTTCAGGACTAGATGAGCAGGGGGCAGTGAGGCCCAAGGCTGGGTAGCGCTGGAGTTTGGGGGAGAAGGGGGGACGACGTTGCAGGCTGTACTGACAGGCTGATCCCCGTCTGTCACCTCAACTTTAACCTGCTACCTTTCAGCCCCCATTAAGGCCCCCTACAACCTCATCTGCCATTTAAAAACAGTCTTAACAGTGTTATTTCCTTTTCTTTGCTTTTTTTTTTTTTAACAAGAATCATTCCAGCAGAAGAGGCAGTTTACAAGCCTATACTTTCGAGGAACAGCCTACACTTCCTGTGGTAAGTTTTGAATAATCCTCTTCCCTTTCATCCATAAAAATACAACTTAACTTAGCATCTTTTATCATTTGTGTATGTGCGTGCATGCGTGTGTGCACACACGCTCTCACACCCACACGTATAGGTACTAGAGTTTGAATTCAGGGTCTGGGTGCTGTCCTTGAGCTTTTCCACTCAAGGATGGCACTCTACCACGGAGCCACAGCTCCACTTCAGATGATTTATTGGAGATAGTCTCGTGGACTTTTCTGCCCAGATCTCAGTCTCTTGAGTAGCTAGGATAGTAGACATGAGCCACTGGTGACCAGCTCCAAGAGATTGTTATCTCCAGTTAACCAGCAAAAAGCTGGACTGACCAGGCACCTGTGGCTCACACCTCTAATCCCAGGTAAGAAGTTAGCTCAGCGGTAGAGTGCTTGCCTTGCTTGCATGAGGCCCTGGGTTCCAGTCCTCAGCACCACATAAGCAGAAAAGGTGGCACTGTGGCTCAAGTGGTAGAGCGCTAGCCTTAAGCTGAAGAGCTGGGGGATAGCGCCCAGGCCCAGAGTTCAGGCCCCATGACAGACAAAAACAAATAAAGCTCAGGGATAGCACTCAGGTCCTGAGTTCAAGTCCACAGTTTACTAAAAAAGCTGGACTCGAGACATGGATCAAGTGATAGAATACCAGCTGTGAGCACGAAAGCTGAGCAGCAGCAAGAGGCCCAAGTTCAAGCTCTGGTACTAGCAAATTTGAGAACATTTATGTATAGATTAAAGGACATGATCTGTCACACAGCACTTAGTGTTTCGCCACAGACACAATTTCTTGTTGTTTTAGCTCCTCATTCTTGTCTCAAGTGAAAGCCTGAAAACTTCATTCTGTATTCTTTGCAAGGTGACCTAAAGTAGCATTCATGGTACTAAACTAAAATGTACCATTTGTCTGCTTTTCTAACTGTTATAGGCAGTTTTAGTTCCCCCTAAAATGAAACATGGCTCAACTTTAGAGAGCATGTGGCCCTTCTTACTTTGTTTCTCCTCCACATGTAATTCTGGTGTTTTACATTTCAGCTTCTGCCTACATCATTCGGATTGCCACCCGGGTGGGAAGAAAAACAAGATGAAAGAGGAAGATCGTATTACGTCGATCACAATTCTAGAACCACCACTTGGGCAAAACCCTCCACACAGGTACCCATGCCTCCCTGCATGTTAACTTCTTTCCTTTCTTTATTTCTTGGGTTTGTTTTTGTTTTTCCAGTTCCATATCTTGAATTTAGGGCATTGTACTCTTGCTTGATTGCTTGTTCAGGACTGCGCTCTGCTCTTTCAACCACACCTTTAGTCCAGCTTGTTGCTGGTAAATTGGAGATGAGAGTCTCATGGGCTGGGCTGGCTCTGAATCTTGATCCTCTAGCGCTCAGTCTCTTGAGGGGTGGAGATGACAGAGGTGAGCCACCATCCCTGGTTTAACTTGTTTCCCTGTTTCCTTTCTGTATAAGCTGTTTCGTTACTTTCCGTTTATTCTGCATACTTTTTGTCTTTCTTCTATGAAAGTTACCATTTGTTATTTTAAAAGTTTCAAATGAGACTGACAAGACCTCTGTAAGACATTGGATGATTTTGTAATTTGAAAGGTTAAGATCTTTTTTGTGTATCAGTATGCTAAAAGATCATGTTAGTGACTAATGGATAATAAGATAGGATCTGTTTAATCTTTTTGCTGCCTGGCCTTGAACTGTGATCCTCCCACTTTCTGCCTCCCCAAGTAGTTGGGATTACAGGAATGCAATACTATGCTCAGGTCAATTATCCATTCCTATACTGGATATTTGTCATTCTTTTTTCTACCAATATTTGAAGCCACTTACTATGTTCAATCTATGAGTCTCCTGGAGCAAAGCTGGCCTTCTTCTCTGGAAACTGTGTTTTCTGTAGACATATGTATCAAGAAGCCATGCCTCCGGGGCTGGGAATGTGGCTTAGTGGTAGAGTGCTTGCCTAGCATACATGAAGCCCTGAGTTTGATTCCTCAATACCATATACACAGAAAAAGCCAGAAGTGGCACTATGGCTCAGGTGGTAGGGTGGTACTTGAACAAAGAAAGAAGTTTAGGGAAAAGCACCCAGGCCCTGAGTTCAAGCCCCAGGACTGACAAAAATAAAGAAATAAAAACAAAGTTTAACCAAATGCTCCATTGGGGGAAAAAAAAATTCAAGGAACAAAGTCATAAAAATGTTAAGGAAGCCAGGTGCTGGTGGCTTACGCCTGTAATCCTAGCTACTCAGGAGGCTGAGATCTGAGGA